CCATTTCATGCCGCTGCTGAATCCTTCTCCCACTGATGGGACCAGCCCCGATGCTCAATCTGGGAACTGCAAAAATCTGCAGAAGGAGAAGCTGCCAGAAAACCTGCTCTCGGACCTGAGCCTGCAGAGCCTGACGGCGCTCACCTCCCAGGTGGAGAACATCTCCAACACCGTCCAGCAGCTGCTGCTCTCCAAAGCGGCCGTGCCACAGAAGAAGGGCATCAAGACCCCGGCGAGGACCCCCGAGCAGCTCAAGGGGCAACACTGCAGCCCTGAGAGCAGCACCTACTCGGCGGAGCAGGTGGGGACCCCCCTGTCCGACCCCCTGAGCACCCCGCAGTCCGTCCACGCCGAGGCGCAGGACACTGACTATCTCAGTGGGTCGGAGGACCAGCTGGAGAGGAGTTTCCTGTATTGCAACCAGAACCGCAGCCCTGCCCGCGTCAACAGCAACTCCAAGGCGAAGCCCGAGTCCGTGTCCACCTGCTCCGTGACCTCCCCGGACGATATGTCCACCAAATCAGACGACTCCTTCCAGAGCATCCACGCCAGCCTGCCCCTGGAGACCTTCACCAAGTACGTGACCAATGAACGGGACTGTCCCCGGCTGCTCCTCAGCGCCCTGTCCCAGGAGGAGCTGGCTTCTGAGATCATCGTCCTGCAGGATGCCATCAGCGAGAAGTCAGACAAAGCCTGGGCCAACTCGCCCATGCTGAGCAAGGAGGCCACCAAGTCCCCCTTTCAGCTAGAGAACCACCGGCCCTGCCTGGACTCCATGGTGAAGGGCAGCTGGCCCAGCCAGGGTGACTCCAGCACCCTCACCGAGCCACTGAAGCTGGACAAGGCTTCGGGGGCCAGCGCAGGGAAGGACTTTGGCGAGGAGGTGTACGAGGGTCCCCAGGTCGAGTTCACGGCTGCTGAGACCAAGGACACTCTGAAGGACGCGGCCCCGCTGGCCTTCAACTCCAAGCCCAGCATCCCAGCAGCAACGTCGAGCGCAGGAGCCACCGGCTACAGCTGCTACTCGAACACCACGGCCAACTCGGTGGGGTCTGAGAATGCCATGGAGCACTTCGAGTGGCCGGAGGAGAGCCTGGGTGAGGCATGCCTGCGGTGGAAGGAGCTGCAAGCCACCGACCTCCCCAAGGGCTTGTTCCCCAGCAAACTGGGGGGCTCCTGCAAGGACAAAAAAAATGCCTGTGGGTTGGATCTATGTGACGGCGAGCAGTCGGCCAAGAATGAGCCGGCCCGGGACTTCAGCCAGCAGGCGATGGAGGAGGAGGAGGAGGAGACGCTGACCTACGATGAAGCGGCAAAGGCGGACAGCGAGAGGTGGCTGCAGGACACCCGGCACTGCTGCTCGACCGGGGACTTCAGCGAGATCCCCATCATTTCCTCACCGGAGCTGAAGGAGTCGGACCTGGAGGCAGAGGAGTACTCCTCCCTCTGCGAGCTGGCCGGCTCGGAGCAGAAGTCGGTGACGTACGACGCT